CTGCTGCTACAATTCAATCCTTAATAAAGGCACCACATTCTTTACTAACCATGTATTTGGCAGCTATGACTAGGTCTTTCAAACACACGGTTGCAGTGATGTCTAGCAAAGGCTGATTCTACACTGAGTGTATAATGCAGTTTGAACTGCATTATATGGCCTGTGTAGAATGCAGTTCAGTGTAGTATAAACTACATTATATGGCAGTGTAGATCCAGCCACAGTTGTGGAGAGCTGTATTGAAGATGGAATCTTTTCCTTACCTCCTCACATGTCCATGTTTTGTGCTTTTGTGAGCACAGCTTGGGTGAATAGGTGATTTGCAACCAATTCTGATTATTTTCTTTCTTTAAAATTTAAGTTCGTATTTCTACAACGTTTGAATCATTGTAACTTTTAGGTGGTATATAAATCATACTGCACCAGTTAGCTCTTTGGGGGAATGACACACTATCTGTGAAGTTTAAAATGATTTGGCCAGGTTCCAATGCACTTACACTCTAATCCTAATAACAATGGTAGTTGGCTATTTAGGCTATTGCATTATCTATGCTACTGTAATTGCCTTAGGGACTTATCACACCAACGTTTTATGACATATTATTCTGTTGGCAATCAGCTCCGGCCAGTCTTCTGAAAGTTGCTGATTGTGGATGCTCTCTATCGCACCCTTGCTGGAGCTGCATATTTTTGTCATCTGCATGGATGCATCACTGCCACCTGCCTTATACTCACCCCACTTCTTCATGTCTATTTTTTTTAAAGAATTAATAGTGTTATGATAGAACATTGCTATAATGATAGGGTGTGCTATAGATTATGACAACATAACAGCAAAAAAATAATAATCTGAATTTGTAAGAGAGTGTTAGAAGAGATGAAAAATATCAGAAAAGCTGTCTTCCCTGTCCAAGCACAAGAAGTAACAGGCCAGATTTCCTAGGGAATCCTTGACAAATGGATAACCTGCCCACACTCAAACCACTAATTCACAGATAAAGTACCATGAGCTATCAGCACCTGGTTTCTGAGGCTGGATCTACATTGTTCTATATCCCAGGATCTGATTCCAAGTATCTGCTTATCTCAGATTATCTGACAGTGTAGACTCATATTATCCAGTTCAAAGCAATATAATCCAGTTCAAAGCTAATCTGGAATCATTTCCTGGGATATATAGGGCAGTGTAGACCCAGCCTGAATTGTTTTTGGTAAAGAAGATCATTAATGGATTGTTTACTGGGTTTTCGGTGACCTCACAATGCAACAATTATGGTATAATAGCATGATGTGATAATGCCTTAAATGTGTCACTGTATAATTGCCTGGTAAGAAGGTCAATATACTGCCCTGTTATGCTGCTGGGGAAAAGGGAGCTGGACATATTATTATTATTATTATTATTATTATTATTATTATTATTATTATTTGAAACACAACAAGATGAGTCCACAGCAAACAAGATCGCTCTGCTGGCTGTTGTATTGGATCACATGTCGGACACTTCCCAAATGTGTAGGACTGTGTGATGTATCGGCGAATAATGCGTGCAGATCCCAGTAAGATGGCCTTCTGCAGCTGGCAGGTGGTAATTTTGTCAGTGCCAATTGTGTTTAAGTGCAGGCCAAGGTCTTTAGGCACTGCACCCAGTGTGCCGATCACCACTGGGACCACCTTTACTGGCTTGTGCCACAGTCTTTGCAGTTTGATCTTTAAATCCTCATATCGTGTCAGCTTTCTCTTCAATCCTGCTGTCACCTGGGATTGCAACATCTACAATCCATACTTTGTTTTTTAACACGCTCGTGAGTCAGGAGTATTGTGTTCCATAATAATAATAATAATAATAATAATAATAATAATAATAATAATAATAATAAAAAATATTATTATTACCAGTTCCTTCTGGTAGTCAGCTGGAATGATAGCCATCAGCATAATCACCAGAGATGTGCCATAACTTTGACCTTCTTCAGTCCTGAATAGGGCAGAGACTGTTCTTTGCGCTAATAACTTGACACAGATAAGCCGTTTCCTTCTCTGCACTGGAAATCTACAACAATCTGGTCATGTGAGGCTGTGACATATTCTTCCATCTTTTTCTTATTTGTAAGCCAAATATTTTGCATTAATTTTGCATTAATTCTTATTTAGACTCTGCTTTATCTCTCCTGAAGGGGACTCAAAGCAGTTTAACATAAAAACATTAGTACACAATTCAAAATATGCAGATATACAAACATTAAAACAGAATTAAATATAAACAGTTTTAAACATTTACAGTTCAAAACCATTCAACATATTCAATGCATATTCAAGTTCAAACCACAGCACCTCTTAACCTGATCTTTAAAACCTTGATCTTTAAAAGCCTGTCTAAATAAAAAGGACTTAGCCTGCCGTTAGAAGGACAGTGGGGAGGGAGCCTTTCCGGCATCCCTGGGAAGAAGGGACTTCTAGAGTCAGGGGGCAGCCACCAAGGAAGACTCTCTCTCTCTTTCTCTCATTCCCACCAACCAGGCTTGAGATGGAGGCAGGACAGAGAGAAGGGTCTCTCCTGACCATGGCTTCAGCTCTTTGGACCAGCTGAAGTTTCTGATCACCCTTCAGAGGCAGCCCCACATAGAGCATGTTACAGTAATCCAGACGGGATGTAAGTAAGGCATGGACCACAATGGCCAGATCTGGCTTCTCCAGGAATGGGCACAATTGGCACACAAGTTTTAATTATGCAAAGGCCCTCCTGGCCACTGCAGATACCTGGGCCTCCAGATTCAATGCCAAGTCCAAGAGGGCCCCCAAACTGAGAACCTGTGTCTTCAGAGGGGAGTGTAGGCTGGATCCCCATTCTCTGGTCTGCCTTTCGATTGCCAGAGGAATACCTCTGTCTTGTATGGATTAAGTTTCAATGTTTTTGCCCTCATCCAGTCCATTACCAGTTCAGGACAGCTTCCTTGGCTTTAGGTGGAAAGGAGTAGTTGAGTTGGGTGTCATCTGCATATAGGTGGCACCAAACTCCAAAATTCTTGGTGGCCTCTCCCCGTGGTTTCATATCTACTCATAAAACTTTTCAATATGTTCATTTACATTAAGTAAACTGGAAAAAAATCCAAGCCAGAAATTCAATATACACTTACAGCATTTTCTTGTATTTTTCTGGAAGATTTTCCTTGGTGTTGGACTAGGTGCCCTTCCACACAGCCATATAACCCAGAATATCAAGACAGAAAATCCCACAATATCTACTGGAGTGACTAATCTACTGGGTGACTCAGCCTGGAAAAAAAGGCAACAGCAAACTCCCCTTGACAAGTCTTGCTAAGAAAACTCTGATATGCTTTCCTTCGGATCACCGTGAGTCAGCAGTGTCTTGACACACAATAGCAGCATCAAACAAAATCTTTACTAACCAAAGAATGCTATCCTGCCCTCTATTACTGTAACAGACTATTGGGGCACCTTCTACACTGGCATATAAAATCCAAATTATCTTCTTTAAATTGGATTATATGACAGTATAAACTCATATAATCCAGTTTAAAGTAGATGACGTGGATTATCTGCTATATATGGCAGCGAAGAAGGGGCCTGAGTTTGTGGATATGTCTAAAACAACAAACAAGTCTTTTCAAATCTTCTACTGACAAAGAAAATAACCTTTTCAAAAGCCTGTTCTGGGGAAATGTTATTTGTCAGTCACAAGACATGTATATGATCAGATTCACAATATGCTTTGTCAAATGGGCTGAAAGGAAATTTCATTTGGGGCCTACATTTGTTTAGTCCAAATAGAACAGATTTGTTGAATCAATAGTAACACCATGTTAACTTCTATTGATTCAACAAATCTAATCTAATAAGGATTTACTAGATTGGATCTAGCCCTTAGTATATGTAGAGAATCAAATTTAAGAAATATATTAGAGAGCCAGTTATAGCAACACTCGTTAAGCTTTTTGGTGCACTTTTAAAAAAACACACATATACTTCTTAATAATTATGCTCATACAGGGTAGAAATATCTGTTGTATCCACAAGCAACTTCTTTGAAAGTCAAATTATTGTGCCTTTGAGACTAGTAGATGGGTTAATAATTAAAAAAGATAGTAGCTTGTAATGTCACTATTTGGTCATGATATAAATATGCCTGATAAATCTGGAGAATCTGAACCCCATTCCAGCGTTGAATGCCTCTGCCTCGTGATTCTGACAAAATCAAACACCCGGAGATGTGCTACTTTCATCCAGAAGTAGAGAACTGGCAAGATAGTATCAGTGGAATCAGGCCCGTAGCCAGGATTTTGTTTGGGGGGGCTCTGAATTTTTTTCAGGGGGGTTTCGGGGGGGGGCTGAGTTTCGGGGGGGGGGCTGAGTCTGAGTGAAAGAGGGTTAGCCTAGCAAACCTTTTGTATCATTACCCCAATACCCCCATGCATATGGGATATATTGAGTATGGTGATCAGATCATGATATGAATAAACATAACAGTTTAAATAATGCACCAGTAAGGCCTTTTCGCGAACCACCATGAGAATTTCGGGGGGGGGGGGGGTGAAGCCCCCCGAGCCCCCCCCCCTCCCCCGCTACATGCCTGAGTGGAATTATCTGATTATTTGGCAGGCTTCAAGTCCTTCTCACACTTAGCTACAATTATTTCCATGTTCAAAAAGGAAAACAGAGTTTCTCAGCAATGAGATGCAGAGAACCCTTTGTATCTGCTGGGGTTTGGTTCCAGGACCCCAAAGATACCAAACTGTCGCTTCAGCGGCTGAGGGAGAAAAGGAAGGGGCCTGAGGCTGCTAGGAATGATGGGAGTTGGAGTCCCAAACACCTGGAAAGCCCAAGTTTGCCCAGGCCTGACCTACAGTCTAGATTCTTCATGGTTTGTCTATTAGCGCCAATAGGCCCGCAAAGGAGGCGTTTCCCCACGCGCGGAGTCCGGATTGGGCCACTGGTGTCCGCCCCTCCTCCTCGTGGCCGGAGTTCCGGGTTTTTAAAGGGAGGGCGCCTTGGTGGAGGATCTCCTCCGTGGACCGGGCTGGGCAAATTTTGGGTCCGCGCTCTGCTCCCACTCCTTGGCCACCATGACCGACCGCTCCACCTTCGACACCAACGTGACCACGCTGACCCGCTTCGTGATGGAGGAAGGGCGCAAGGCCAAGGGCACCGGGGAGCTCACCCAGCTGCTCAACTCCCTCTGCACCGCCGTCAAGGCCATCTCCACCGCCGTGCGCAAGGCGGGCATCGCCAACCTGTGAGTGACAGACAGAGAGAGAGAGAGAGAGAGAGAGAGAGAGAGAGAGAGAGAGAGAGGAGGAGGAGAAGCCCTTCTCTCCCCAGAGCCCCCTCCCCTCCCCTCGTTGACACCCACAATGTTTGCCACTCTTGGTCTCTCCTGATGTACCTACACTCCAGCTTCTATCATCCTTGGCCAAGTCAGATAGTAGGAGCTTCACCTTACAGCATTCATTGGTCAACTTGGGCCTTCCGGGTGTTTTGGACTTCAACTCCCACAATTCCTAACCTCCTCAAGACCTTTCCTTTCCCCCTCAGCCACGAGGAAAGGAAGGGGCCTGAGGCTGCTAAGAATTGTGGGAGTTGAAGTCCAAAACTCCTAGAGGGCCCAAGTTGGCCCATGCCTGGTGTAGATGCACCCATATGAACAGTATTGGAGATGTATTGTCGAAGGCTTTCATCGCTGGAAGCACTAGGTTGTTGTGGTTTTTTAAAAGCAGAAAACCTGGGGGTTTTTTTATCCCAGGTTTTCTGCTTTAAACTGAATTATATGATTCTGCACTGCCAGATAATCTGGGATGAACAGAAAACCTGAGATCAGATCTTGGGATATAGGACCAGTCTGGAAGTGCCCTTTGAGAGTAGAGTTGTGTGGATTGGACCTACTGAGCCCCCTTCTGCTTTCCTAGAAAGAGAGTGGCGAGTAGAAGAAGGTAGTGGCTAAAGGAAGAGCATCGTTCTAGGTGACACATTGTGTCCATTTCTTTCTGCTGTAACACCAAACCCTGTCTAAGATCCCAACATCCTTGGCTCCTTCTTAAAAGGATGAGTGCCCAGTAGGAGACATTAAGGACCTAAATCTTGTTGGCTATCATAACTAGAGTAGAACCATTGGATCTACTAGATCTGACTATGTGTTACCTCAATGTTCAACAGCTGAGGACAGGCTGAACAAGAGTTCAGCTGGAGTCCCCTTGTATGAAATGCTTGGCACCAAAAGTGTTTTGTTTTGGAATACTTCTATTTGCATATATATATATACGCATATTAAAATGTCTTGGAGATGAGACCCAAGGCTAAACATGAAATTGTTTTTTGTTTTGTATGCACCTCATACACATAGCCTAAGGGCAATGTTACACTATATTTTAATAGTTTTGTGCATGAAGCAAAGTTTATACTCAGTGTAACATCAGAAAATATAGAAGTAATTCTTAGCCACGTGTGTGGACAATTTCATATTGTAGAGTATTTCAAAATTGTGGACAAGGGATGCTCAGCCTGTACTTCATTTGGGACTTACCCAAAAGATTTTAATGGAGGTGGTTAATCAGTTGATTTTCCTTTTCATTGTCATTGCATTGGAACCATTTGGCTTAGGAACTTAATACTTGTGGGGGAACACATTTCTATATGTACCAATCTCAATATGAGGTTTTCTGAATGTATCTTCCCCTGTGAATCATCTCGGAGATTAAGATTGTCTGGGGAAGCCCTGCTCTCGGTCTCACCTTCTTCACAAGTGCGGTTGGTGGGGACGAGAGACAGGGCCTTCTCAATAGTGGCCCCTCAATTGTGAAACTCCCTCCCTAGTGATATCAGGGCAGCCCCCTCCATCCTAGTGTTTAGAAAGAGAGTCAAAACCTGGCTCTGGAAGCAGGCGTTTGAAAAATAGAGCAGGGCAGGAATCTTAATATGGAATATTTGCATTTTGACTACAGATTAGCCTTTAGACTACGACTCTGGATGATGTGATTTATTGAAATGTATTTTATTATGCTTATTATGTTTAGATTTTTAACTCATGTTTTAACTGATGTTGTATGTTTTAAGGCACTGTGAAGCGATTGTAAGCCGCTTTGAGTCCCCATCGGGGTAGAGAAAGGCGGGATATAAATAAGGTAAATAAATAAATAAATTTCCCATCATTGAGAGCAATATATGGAGTGAAGATAGCCTTTTCAGCTGTGGCTCCCTCATTTTGAAATGTCCTCCCATTGGGCCTCCAATTGTCAGCAATACTGCTTTTATGTAGGTGCCACATTAAACATGGATATTTATTAAAGCTTTTGGGCCTTGTTGGTGTACTTTAAACAGAATGGCCAAGGGCGTTAAACACATTGAATATAAATTAATAATCTTGGAATGTGGACTAAGGATTGCTTTATCAGAGCTAGACATACAGACCTCCTACCAGTAGGTAAAGGGGGGATTCTGAAGACAGGTTTGCAGCAGTTTCCAGCTAACAATAATATAAGTATAAATGACACAAGAGACCCAATTCTGTTTTCCACATGTGTTGGAAGACTGGCCACCACTCTGGTTGGGAAATGATGGGAATTGTAGTTCAACATATCTAGAGTTGTCAAGAAACAAAAAGTGGGTTATACTTGCAGTATACATTACATTCCTATATAGTGGTCAGTCCTTCCAAATTAAATAAACCTAATTCTGAGGTAAATGGGAATAAGAGTTCAATCTTGGACCCTTTCTACACTGCCATATAAAATCCAAATTATATGCTTTGAACTGGATTATATGGCAGTGTAGACTCATATAATTCAGTTCAAAGCAGATAATCTGGTGGGGGTGCTTTGAATGTGATTGTCCTGCTTCTTGACAGGGGCTTGGACTGGATGGCCCATGAGGTCTCTTCCAACTCTATGATTCTAATGTGGATTTCCTGCTTTGAAAATCTGGATTATATGCAGTGTGGAAGGGGCCTCCATCTTTCCAGTATATATTTTTTCTGTTTCTAGCTAGGAAGCATTGCGTAGTTGGCTGAAAACAGCTTTAAGGCTAAATAGAGAAGGTGATTTTTGGTATTTCAGAGCACTACAGCAAAGGGAACAGAAGCGGGTAATTTTTGATATGGTAATGCTTCCCTTTTTTGGAACAGGGTGCTGGAAACATGTTTTCTTCTGTCTTATTGAATAGAGAAAAATCTCTTTTGTAATGCACATTACACTAAGAAATATTATATGCCAACATCCGCTTAAGTGTGCTTCCTCTCTCATGAGCAAGTTATGATGCAAACGTAACCGTTTATAACTCAATCTCCGTAGTAATAGCATGAAGAAACCAGTGTTGACACCATTCTTCATCTGTAGTACCTTTGTTGGGACATAGTTCTTTACCACTCTTACTAATTCAGTTATGTTGGCCCTTTCCCTCCGTGTGCCAATGTAGCTCATTTAAAGCTGAGCCAACACAGTAGCAGTCTGCATTACTGCTGATATACTATGACCCACTTATCACTTTAAGATTGTGTTGTCGAAGGCTTTTGTGGCCAGAATCACTGGGTTGCTGTGAGTTTTCCAGGCTGTATGGTCATGTTCCAGAAGCATTCTGTTTCAGAAACATTGGGAGAGAATGCTTCTGGAACAAGGTCATACAGCCTGGAAAACTCACAGCCACCCAGTTTAAGATTGGCTTAATGTGTTACTGAGACAACTCAGACTATAAGATATTTTTATGTATTCACATCAGTTCACTAGGACTCTGTATTTTAATTTTTGTAGGGATTAATCAAAACTAGGATACTGAAATATTCTAAATACAGCCAGTCCCCAAGTTATGAACAAGATTGGTTCTGCAGGTTTGTTCTTAAGTTGATTTTGTTTGTACACTGGAACAGATACCTTTAAGTGTAACTCCAGCTAAATGTATGTGTGTGTGTGTGTATGTATGTATGGCCCCTCTGGTGGTGCAGCAGATTAAACCACAGAGCTGCTGAACTTGCTAACCAAAAACTTGGCGGTTCAAATCCAGGGTGGCTGGAGTGAGCTCCCGCTGTTATGCCCAGCTTCTACTAACCTAGCAGTTTGAAAACATGCAAATATGAGTAGATCAATAGGTATCGCTTCTGCAGGAGGGTAATGGCTCTCCATGCAGTCATGCTGGCCACATGACCATGGAGGTCTCTACAGACAATGCCGGCTCTTCGGCTTAGAAATGGAGATGAGCACCCCCCCTCCCCCCAGGATTGGACACAACTAGACTCAATGTCAGGGGAAACCTTTATACATACACACACACACACACACACACACACGCACACACACAAGCTTTGGATAGCACAGGAAGGGTTAACACCCCTGTGGAGTTTGCTTTGCTACCTGTGCCCCGGTTCAGAAGATTTCCTCTCACTTTCTGTTCCTGTGATCACTGGATTTTGAAAAAAATCCGCTTGTTGTGGAAACAAGGATTGGTTAGAAAGTTTCAGTGGAGATACCTTTTCCCCATGATAACCCAGAAGTGAATTTCCCTTCCGAGAGGTAGATTTCTCTCACTTCCTGTTGTCTCACCCCTGTCCTTAACTATGAGTCATTTGTAAGTCAGATGTTTGTAACTCGGGAACTGCCTGTATGCACCCGATGGGGGACAAGTTGCATATACTGGGGATGAGTTTTCAGAGGAATCCACACGTAAGCTTTAGCCTTTGCCCAGCATTGTTGCTTTAGAGATAGGTAGTATTTACAGTTCAAGGTACATTTCATGTAGTATCAGCATATCTTTGTTATTCACATGTGAACTTTTCAACTAAATTCAACAATGAAATGGCTCCTGAAGGCTGAAGATAGTCAAAACCCATAACTTGTTCCCTTAGCTTTCCAAGTGAAATCAATTGGACTTAAAATGATTTAACCTTTTTAATCGTGGCAGAATATTGATTCCCCCCCCCCCCATCCTATTGATTTCAGTTGGAAAGATAAGCATGTTCTCAGCTTTTTAGAAAATGAAAGTAACACTGTTGTCATATTCTAGATCTGTTAGAAGTTGTTGTGTTGCAAATAATAATATTTTTATAATTTGTTTTAAAGGTAGCATTTTTTTAAAAAAGTAAACCACAATTTAGGGGCCAGATGATATCAAGACACAAAGTCCCATGTGGTCTTATTGGGGTCTCAGTGTCATGTTTGATAAAAGTGTGGTCGAAACGTAGCCCTTCCTTTTAAAAACAAAAGTGCTTGATTTTGCTTCTGTTCTTCTCATCTTCCTTCAGTTATGGAATGGCCGGTTCTACCAATGTGACAGGAGATCAAGTAAAGAAATTAGATGTCCTTTCCAACGACATGGTGATCAACATGCTCAAGTCATCTTTCACAACTTGTGTAATTGTGTCAGAAGAAAACCCGAATGCGATCATAGTGGAAGAAGACAAACAAGTCAGTGCCTTTTGCTTACCTTCAAAGCAGCATTGAGCAACAGCTGTCTTTTAAACATGTAAAAATTAACCTAAGATACAAACTCCAGAGGACAAAGGGCAACTGCCTTTTCAATCCATGACACTGAGTTAAGTTCTGTTGACATTAGTCACAGACATTACACGAAAAATATAGGAACCCTTATCCTACATTTCTGCCATAATGTTAATTCAAGAGCTGGAATGATTTTCAAGTGCAGAATAATTGGTCAGGAGAAAATATTTAATTACTTCTGTCATTGTTGATGCTCTACTTTCTGTACCTCCATGCTATTTTTTTTAAACCTCTTCATTCTATTTGTCAAAGCTAAAACTGAATTGTACTAGAGGAAAACTGCCTTAAGGAATTATTTGCAGGTGAAAGCTTAAAAGTGCAGACTATATTAAGCCCCATTTTTATTATCTGACCCTGTTCTCCATTACCTTGGCATATTTAGGGTTGGGATCACTTGTTGCTGGGATATCTCGGGAAACTACACACCTATATAAAACCCATATGTGCTTTGAACTGTATTATGAGCAGTGTAGACTTGGAGCCCCCCCCCCCCCAAATCTGTGGCACAGTGGGTTAAACCCTTGTTCCAGCAGGACTGCTGACTGAGAGGCCAGTGATTTGAATCCGGGGAGAGTGGGTTGAACAAATGGCAGTTGCAAGTGGCATAGCATCACATTTAGTACACTTGTGTGCAGCCATGGGGTTGGGAAGGTGACAACCAAAAGAAATGCACCCTTTGTCCAGTTGCCCACCTCAGCTTTCTGTGGTTTGGTGAAATTTTAGCCAATTATTTTTTCATATTCTATTACCCCCTACAGCTTCTCTGCATGACTCGTTTTACTTCTCAAATTCTTCTAAATTATCTTTGGTGTGCAAAACTTGGAACAATAGTTTTCTCTTTTTAAAATGCATACCGTATACAGATAATACAACATTACTGTGATATCTTCTTCCTCATCTGTACTTCAGGGCTATTTATCAGCACAACTGCTATTAAAAGGTTTGTCACCAGGTTTGTCGGAGCCCCCAGTGGTGCAATGGGTTAAACCCCTGTGCCAGCAGGACTGCTGACCAAAAGGTTGGTGGTTCAAATCCTGGGAGCGGAGTGAGCTCCTGTCTGTCAGTTCCAGCTTCTCATGTGGGGACATGAAAGAAACCTCCCACAGGATGGTAGAACATCAGGTTGTCTGCTGGGCAGCGTCCTTGCAGACGGCCCATTCTTTCATTCCAGAAGTGACTTGCAGTTTCTCAAGCCGCTCCTGACACAAAAAAAGAAGAAGAAAAAAAAACAGGTTTGTCATGCAGTATGGGACAAGTTATTAGAAATCGCATCAATATGTGAGAATATTATAGTAATAAAGCAAGCTCAAAATTACACAACTGTATCTGCTGTAATGGTATGCAACTGCTTTCTGTTTCTAGGGCAAATACATTGTCTGCATGGATCCACTTGATGGCTCTTCTAACATCGACTGCCTTGTTTCTATTGGAACCATTTTTGCTATCTACAGAAAGGTAGGGAATGTAATTGTTAATACCTGCTTGTCCAAATTATAAAGCAACATGAGTAAATAGTTAAAATGTACAGCTTTGAGGGCTAATTTGAACTTTCTCAAATACGCAGTTCAGTCAGCATGGTTGGACTGAACCAAATCATAATGGTTTTCCCCAACTTCCAATAAGCGGATCTAAAGTTCCACGGCATAGGGTTGTTGTAGGTTTTTCCGGGCTATATGGCCATGTTCTGGAGGCAATTTTTCTCCTGACGTTTCCCCTGCATCTATGGCAAGCATCCTCAGAGGTAGTGAGGTCTGTTGGAAGTAGGAAAATGGGTTTATATATCTGTGGAATGACCAGGGTGAGACAAAGGACTTTTGTCTGCTGGGGCTAGCTGTGAATGTTTCAGCTGATCACCTTGATTAGCATTCAATGGCTTGGAAATGCCTGGGGGAATCTTTTGTTGAGAGTGATTTTATGTGCCTGTTTGTTTCCCCTCTGTTGTTTTGCTGTTGTATTTTTTGAGTTTTTTTAATACTGGTAGCCAGATTTTGTTCATTTTCATGGTTTCTTCCTTTCTGTTGAAATTGTCCACATGCTTGTGGATTTCAGTGGCTTCTCTGTGTAGTCTGACATGGTGGTTGTGAGAGTGGTCCAGCATTTCTGTGTTCTCAAATAATATGCTGTGTCCAGGTTGGTTCATCAGGTGCTCTACTATGGCTGATTTCTCTGGTTGAAGTAGTCTGCAGTGCCTTTCATGTTCCTTGATTCGTGTTGGGCGCTGCGTTTGGTGGTCCCTATGTAGACTTGTCCACAGCTGCATGGTACATGGTAGACTCCTGCAGAGGTAAGAGGATCCCTCTTGTCCTTTGCTGAACGTAGCATTTGTTGGATTTTCTTGGTGGGTCTGTAGATAGTTTGTATGTTGTGTTTCCTCATCAGCTTCCCTATGCGGTCAGTGGTTCCCTTGATGTATGGCAAGAACACTTTTCCTCTGGGTGGATCTTCATCTTTACTCTCGTGGCTTGTTCTCGGTCTTGCAGCTCTTCTGATGTCTGAGGTGGAGTATCCATTGGCCTGTAGAGCCCAGTTTAGGTGGTTCAGTTCATCTTGGAGAAGGTGGGGTTCACAGATTCTTTTTGCACGGTCTGCCAAGGCTTTAATTGTGCTTCTTTTTTGACTTGGGTGATGGTTGGAGTTTTTGTGTAGATATCTATCCGTGTGTATGGGTTTTCTGAAAACGGTGTGACCCAATTGTTGATCTGGTTTGTGGATGACTAGGACATCTAGAAAAGGCAGTCTTCTTTCATTTTCTTTTTCCATGGTGAATTGGATGTTTGGGTGGATGCTGTTAAGATGTTCCAGCAACCTGTTGAGTTCTTCTTCTCCATGGCTCCAAATAGTGAAGGTGTCATCCACATATCTGAACCATATAGTGGGCTATAGTCTATTCCACAGCATAGACTTCTTAAAAGGGAGGAAGTAGTTTGCAAACTGACTACAAACTCACAGTGCAATCTTCAAACCACTTGAGCCATTAAGTAATTAATTTCAATGAGGACCATTCTTGCAGAAATAGTTGGAAGATGGCCAGCTTATAACAGGCAGGTGCTCTGCTTGGAGAAGACCTGAAATTCTGGTTTAACATGTTTACAAAAATGCCTGTTGATTAAATACACACCTTGCTATTTGTTTTTCTTATCCAGGTTCTAGCATTTGGTGTGTACCGTAAAGTACATAGACATTCTGGAGATCTGCCACTTAGCATTGTCCAAGCTGCAAATCAAGGAGTATAATAAAGTCAGTGACAGGCTCAGCTGCCAAATACTATACTGATCTGTATTGATATAGCTCTTGCAGGGAGGGGAAGTTTAATGCCTAGCCCCCCACCCCACCCTCATGCAGCTTAGATTTCAATAATAATAGCCTTTTCTCTACACCAAAGGTGGAATCCTTAATGAAAACTGACATTTTTTAGCTACACTGCAGGGAAGGGATAACTGAATTAATAAGTAAATCTGTTATCAAATCATAATCAAATGTTTAAAAATTATTAATAATAATAATTTTATTTCTTAATTGCCTCTCCCAGCAGCTTGAGTTACAAAAAAATTAAAAAACATGAACATTGCAAAAATTCAACAAATATACACATTTCTCTAAAAGATTAAACTGCATTTCTATAAAATATTAACAGATACAAAACAGGCATCAAACAAAGGACACGAGTTTAAGATTCATAGATTAAATTAAGATATACGTGGTCACCATTGTTGCCTCTCAGAATAATGACATCACAACCTGTCACTTGTCTTGGCTTTGGTATCTTAGGATGCTAAGAGGTTTTCCGTAGCCTTAACAGTTTTATCCCACCACCCTTGAGTTTTAGTCTCCATCCAAATTTTGCCAATCTCTTCATTGTGATTGTGAGAAACTGAACATAAAATTTTCTTATATCTATAGCCCACCTAGTAGCACAGCAGTTTAAACAGCTGAGCTGCTGAACTTGCTGACTGAAAGGTTGGTGGTTTGAATCTGGGGAGCGGGGTGAGCCCCTGCTGTTAGGCCCAGCTTCCGCCAACCTAGTAGTTTGAAAGCATGCAAATGTGAGTAGATCAATAGGTACCGCTTCTGCTGGAAGGTAATGGCGCTCCATGTAGTCATACTGGCCAAGTGACTTTGGAGGCATCTACGGACAACACTGCCTCTTGGACTTAGAAATGGAGATGAGCACCACCCCCCAGATTTGAACACAACTAGACTTAATGTCAGGGGAAACCTTTACCTTTACTATGGAACAGAGCTAAACGTCTCAGAGCTACTGCTGGAAATGCTGCACTAGACAGAACTGGGGTCACTTTCTTAAGTGATTTTTTAGAAAAAAATAAAACTCATTTTGTCCCTTGTTGTCAAGAATACCTTAAGGCAGTGTTTCTCAAACTGTGCTCCTCCAGGTGTTTTGGACTTCAGCTCTCAAGAATACCAGCCATCTTCCCACCTGTTAGGAATTGTTGGAGCTGAAGTCCAAAACATCTGGAGGAGCACAGTTTGAGAAACTTTGCCTTACGGTAAAACCCAAAGACACTTGGCTTCCAGATTTGAAGGTTTCTTCCCTTTCTTCCTCCAGGTTTCTCCTGGTGCACCTTCTGAGAAAGATGCTCTGCAGCCTGGACGCAATCTTGTGGCCTCTGGCTATGCCCTCTATGGCAGTGCCACCATGCTTGTTTTGGCTCTGGAATGTGGCGTCAACTGCTTTATGCTGGATCCGGTAAGTCATTTAAATAATGTTCTTTGAAAAAGTGTGCTTTTTAATGCTATAACAAAATCCTCAGCAAGATTGTTATTATTTATTAAAAGAACCAGTTGGGTTTTCCAAAAGGAAATGAAGTTGATTCTTCGTACAAAATGTCATTTGTGCTAACAAAGTAACATTTGAAGGGAGCCAACTGGGTTTGTGTATCAAAGAAAAACTAGCTTATTAACTTTGGATCCTACATTCAAAGACTTGCATAACCTTGGTTTTGCAGTTCTGCTTTTGGGGATACTATGAGCTCTAACCATCCTCCAGAGCCACCCAACCAGTCCTGGTGTCATAGCCACTCTCCCTTCAATTCCAGCATTAAGACCAAATAGCCCATTATCTTTACAACACAGGGAAAACCTGCTCTAATTTTTTGTGCTCAAAAGTAAACATGAGCGACCCAGTATGGATTAGTTACATGTTATTGGCTGTAGGATGCTTTACATTTTGTCCCTTGTTGTCATTCATATCTATAAGAGTGGTATCTTCTATTGGCATTGGGAAAAAGCTTCAACTGAAACAAATTGGGGGTGTCTTTTTATGCAAATGGATGCTGTGGGACCATAATATGAACTGGAGGTATACAGTCCTCTGTTTATATTTTGGATATGGAAAATACCACAAATTGAGCTGCAAACTACTTATTAACGATAAAGTGTTGTTTTCATGCTTCAAGAACATAAAGTTTTAAGGAACTTTAGAATTTAAAGTGGGATGCTTAACATTGTTGTTGTTAGCCTTCAAGACAATTCCAATATGGTGACCCTCAGGCAAATTTATCAAGTGGTCTTTTGTGGCTAAAAGAGGGTTTGCCATTGCTTTCCTTCTCGAATGAGAGACTGTCCCAAAGTCGCCCATGGAGTTCCTCCAATAGCTGAGTGAAAATTCAAACACTTTTCCTCTGGAAGCCAAGTTCAGTACTCAAAACAATATATCCCCGAAGCCCCCATACCCTTATGAAAAGTTTAAAAAAACTTACCCAGCCTGCAGTATACTTGCAGAACAGCTCTCCACAGCTGTTGTTAAACAAGGGAATCATCTTTTAATCTATATCCAGCCAAAATAATGTTAACGGATGTTCTTATGCACTTTCAGATTGCAACATGATGTCTTAAAAAGAGTAAGTCTGGTGACGCTATGTGTGTGTGACACCTTAAACACCCCAAAAACCCTTCACCCTTTAACATCTGCAACAGTGTGCGTGTAGTGCATAGTTTTCATAGAACTACTTTTTACTTAGGAGAAGCAACATTCATCGGGCTTTCCTGAATGTCACATTATCTGTTCATATCTGAGGAGCTGGAGTTTGAAGAACTCCAGGTTCTGTTACTAGAACCTGGAATTCTCTATTGTCTAAGCAGTAAGTTCTGTCATAACATATGTGTTTACAATGCAAATTGGCAGTAACACCATTAATTAATAGAGGCACATTATTTGTTGATTGTGCAATTCAATCTTGAGCATTCAAAATTGGTGCATCCTAGCCATTCAGCAGCAATCCTGCCTCATCTCATCTTCGGCTGGATCTACACTGCCATATAACCCAGATTATCAAATCAGATAATCCAAATGGTCTGCTTTGGATTATATGGGTTTCCACTGCCATATAATCCAGTTCAGAGCAGATAATATGGATTTTATATGGCAGTATAGATGGGGCCTTAGGCATTCAGTTTGTTAGCTGTGTGAATTTGAGAAGGTATTCAGGAGTGCTTTTTCATAATACCCTTCTAAAACATTTCTGTGTTTCACAGATAAGAATGCATGAAAGAAACAACCCATCGATAAAAATGTCTGTGGTGATTACAAAAGATATGCAATACTGCCAGAAGGGAAGCTTGATGTGAACAAGTGCTTCAAATGAAATGAATCCATGTTGTGCATTATAAGCAAAGTTGTCTTGCAGGGACTAAGGCCTCCTCCATGGGCCCTTCTACACAGCCCTATATCTCAGAATATCAAGGCAGGAAATCCCACATGATCTGAGTGTGGACTCTTCAAAGCAGATATTGTGGGATTTTTTTATCTTGATATTCTGGGATATGGGGCTGTGTGGAAGGGTCCTAAATTACCATATAAAATCCAGATTATTTGCTTTGAACTGAGGGCCCTTCCACACAGCCATATAACCCAGAATATCAAGGCAGAAAATCCTACAATATCTGCTTTGAACTGGGTCCACACTGCAATATATTCCAGTTCAAAGCAGATAATGTGGGATTTTATTCAGCTGTGTGGAAGGGGCCAGAATTATATGATTCTATACTGCCATATAATCCATTTCAAAGCAGATAATCTGGATTTTACATGGCAGTGTAGATGGGGCCTAAGTTCAGTGCAAGCAAATTCAGATCATGTCCAAAAGACATAGAAATTGATAATTCACTAAGAGTTTGAATTGAATGCCAGATAAAAAAGGAATTAGGGACCTTATATCTATTAATAAAAGCAAAAGAACTAGCTATTTACAACGACCTAAAGAGAAAAGTTTTTAAAATTCTACCGATGCACCATCATTTAGTTTTACCAGTAGTTATATGTTGTGTGTGAGAGGCTTTCATAATGTTCAGTTGTTTGATGAAGCTGCAAGTGCCTAATGAAGAAGGCACAGAGATAACCCCTTTTCTACTATATAAATTAACTGAAGAAGAAGGCTACAACTTGGATCAGATTTTTAATGTTGAGAGTTATACTGGAAGTATATACCATCCAGAACATATATTTCTGAGAGTAAAGCCCACAACTCTTGATTTGAAGCTGCAAAAGACTGTATAGCTTGGTTCGAATGCAAGCAGTGATTTGAAGTTGAATCCTGTGGTTTACTCTTCACCACACATGTTTTAAAAGAGTACTTGAAGTAAATTTTAGGTGTATATTTTAGGTCAGATAAGAAAGGACAGAGGAAAGGACAATTTTTCAGATTGCATACTATTTTTGAAGGTACTGATAGAAAATATTGTAAGAGAAATGTGGGTTTTAAAATTCCCCTGCTTTTGGACAATGGACCAAATCATCTCCTACGATTGCTGAGTTACTACAACCTATAAATCAGTGAGTTGCATCAGCCACAGAAGGTGACATGCTAAGATTTTAGAAGGGTTTTAACATAATGAATGGCATCAGCATTATTTCTAGAGGTTTCAGATGATGTCACTAAAGACATACACATATGAGATCTGTACCTAACCCTGTTTTCCCCATAAGTCCTTTTAAGAGCATTGATTACTATAACACACACTTTTTAAAGGAACACAGCTATCGCTTTATGACAGAACTTACTGTGTGTCTGAAATAGCTGCATGAAACTTGTTCTTTGTTTGTTCCATTTAGCTATTAGAGTTTTATGCCTTATGTATGTAGTAGCAACTTTGTTAAATAACCACAAACACATAAGCATCACTTAGGTTTAATATGGACAAGATTTATATGACTGTTCCAAACAGTTTTGAGGAATTATGCTACTCAATAGCCCTCTGTTATTGCCACAGGTGTTCCTAATTGCTTCTAAAGTTCTCATGGGAATTACAAAAAAGGAATGTATTTGAAGTGATGGTGTGTACATTGTCTAACATATTTATAAAAATGCAGTGTTAAGCCAGTAGCTGCGTGTCTCAACACCTCTGCATTTTTGTTGCTGTTCTTGAATTATATATGAAATGTTCTTGGCTATGAAGTGTTTGCGACAAGAATGCAAAATGATTTGCTTGCCTTTTTAAATACTAGGCAATTGGGGAGTTCATTTTGGTCAACAGAGACGTAAAAATAAAGAAAAAAGGAAACATCTTCAGCCTCAATGAGGGATATGCGGCATACTTTGATCCTGCTGTCACAGAATACCTTAAGCAGAAGAAATTTCCTCAGGTAATCTTCTGCTAATAGATTTGGTATCAAGATACACAGGAAATCACTGTGGGTTGAAATACTGTATAATATGATATGGTCTCTATCTATGTATATGAATCTAATCCAGTGGATTGCATCCAATCCTCTGTTCAGTGTTTGGAGCAACCTTGGTTTCTGCTGCTCAAGAGATTAAAAATTGAACCAATTGATTTGAATGCTTTTCCTGTCATTTAGGGATTTTTCAATTTTAGGAGTTGCCCTAACTATACCATTCCTTTGTATCAACTTCTCATCCTCTTTCCTGCTGTTTTGTCTTTTCATTTGGTTAGCAGATATGATTGTAGGCTCTGCACGAGGAACTACTTTATAGTTAACATGAGAGTAGTCTGCTGGATTGTGCTTATTATGTTCCTTAGGTTGCCTTTTGTCCTTTTTCTTCAGAAGTGGTTCTTTCAGAAGCCGTGGTCCACTGTTTTTTGTGACCCCCAGAACTCCCATGTTAAAATAATTACCCCCAAAATGTCCTAAACACCCATTTGCCACATTCTCCCTATTTAGTCCATAGAGAGGTCTTTTTTGAAGCTCAAAGGGATTTCCTTTTGTGATAAAGGGGTTCTCCTGGACCTACAATAGCTCATGGGTCCCCAAGCATGGCAAAATGAGGGTATTATGAGCCATTTGATGGCACTGCTTTTTTGAAATGGGATAAGTTCAGCCCTTCTCTATCTCCTGGGGACCAACACAGCCCCCTAAACCTGACAGTTGCCCTGATGTTGTCCTATTCTAATGGGATGTTATGGTATCCAGTTAAGAAGAAATGAATTCCAGCTGTTTTCTGGACTGGTCTTGAAATGGGAGATAACTGCTATCAGCTCACAACCCATTCAGGATATACTATACAGGATCTCCAAATCTGTTGCTCTGGTATTTGACCTCTGACTGTTCTCATTTAGGTTGATGGAAACTGAAATCTGGCATGCCTGAAAGTCACCTCTTTGGGGAAATCTTAAAGGAGACATTTATTCTCATGTATCGTTTTGTCCAATTGCTGTCCTAGGATGGTAGCTCCCCATATGGAAGCCGATACATAGGTTCTATGGTTGCTGATGTGCATCGTACGCTGGTGTATGGAGGAATCTTTCTGTATCCTGCCAATTCAAAGAGTCCCAAGGGAAAGGTAACATAAACAGGCCTCCTTTCATATGTTATGTGACTATTGCTTACACAGTCCAAGCTCGGACTTCTTTCTATGCACATTGGTGGGTTTTCTGTCATGCTGCTGTGAGCAAGAACTACACACAGTGTGAAGTGATGAAAATCCCAAGGGGGAACATTTGTCTTGTTGCTGATACAGATGATATTCACTATAGGTGTGGAAGGTGGATAAAAAAGAGAAATTGCAGTCTTTTACTCTGATAAAAATGTATTACCAAGGTGATACACTAAACTCTCTAAGTTTTAACAGTTGTTACATCAACATAGTTCTCCCATGCCATTAAATATACTGATGGTTTTGAAAACCAGTAACTGTGGACTATGAACACCAGTCGGTTCTGGTACTCAACACAAATTCTAAGTGTTTGGCTAGTCAAAAAGTACAGGCAGTTCTCAAGTTATGAACAAGATAATCTGGATTATATGGCAGTGTTGATCCGGCCCTAGTTTCTCACCATAGCCTCATGCTCCCATTTCCTGGGCTGCAGCAAACCTTCATAAATACAGGCAACCCTAAGTTACAAACAAGATAAGTTCTGTATGTTTGTTGAATTTGTATGTAAATCAGAACAGAAGCGTGTTTTTGAACTGCTATGTTGGCAGAAGCTGGGGCTAACAGAGGGAGCTCACCTTCTCCTTGGATTCGAACTGCCAACCTTTCTGTCAGCAAGTTCAGCAGCTCACCGGTTTAACCTGCTGTACCATCAGATGGCCCTCTGTATAATTTCATTGATAAAGCTGAATGCAACTAGGTTTACATGCTTATGTGTAGCCTATCTCCAATCTGCTCAAGGTTGCATATGCCACTTTCTAATTCCATTTTATGTTCCTAACAACTTTGTGGGACAGGCTGCAATCTGAAATACACTGATATTTTTTATAATCTTTGACTGCACTGGAAGTTATTTTGGAGTAAACATAGCTTCACATTTTGAAACTTTCCATTGGGGTTTGGTTCCAGGACACTCCATGGACCCCAACATCTGTGGATGCTCATGTCTCATTATATACAATGACAAAATCCCTTATTAATGGCAAAATCATGTAATTTGTGTCTCTGCTTTTTGGTGTCTTAAAATATTTTCAAGTCCTGGATTGTTGAATCCATGGATGCTGAATCTGTGAGTACAGAGGATTGGTGGTACACAAGGAGCAGGATACAACCACAGTGTTTTTGTGTGTGCCAACTCTAACATGAAGTGTTTTCTTGCTTGTACAGTTCTAGCTGACAACTTTCTTATTTATTTTCAAACTGTGTGGTTTCAGCTGAGGCTCCTGTACGAATGCAACCCCATGGCTTTCATCATGGAGAAGGCTGGAGGGCTGGCGACAACAGGCAAAGAGGCAGTCCTGGACATTGTGCCTGAGAACATTCACCAGCGTGTGCCCATTGTCTTGGGTTCTCCCGATGATGTGCAGGAATACCTAGCCGTGGTCAAGAAGCATTCTACCAAATGAAGTGGAGAAAGCAGCTGTTGCATCTCCGACTAAAGTGCCTTAACCTCGGACCAAAGACCGCACTGCAGCAGTTCTGACTGTGAAGCCATGGATTGAGTTGTTGCAAAAGAGCCACAATGTCACTGTACACAAAAAGTGTGATTGATACCTTTTTTCACTGTGCCATTAAAATAAAATAAAAGAAAATGGTGTGTGTGTGTGTGCGCGTGTTTTTTTAAAAAAATTGCACAACTTAACTAGTAGTGTTTTTGCATCACATGCCATTTCAGTAAAATATCATTAGAGACAATCTGGAAGTTGTATCATGGTGTGAGGTTTCTCAGCTCCAACCGTGTTGCTGTGGATTAGTCTTCTCTTGAAAGAACATGCCAAGACACAGAAGGGCTGAAGATACCACATGTCTTTATTGTTCAGAATACAAGGGTCTTGCAATACTACCCATTTATATAGGCCTACCTACAATATCATAAATCACACAAGAGTCCTGGCACCTGTGCTGCCCTTTTCCACATTTCAGTGCCCACTTTCTTCTCACCTCAGGGCAATTGACTTTTATACCTGGTTCATATGTCCTGGCCTCTCTTTTGGCCAATGGCCATGTGCTCTGTGTCAGGAGGGCTGATAGTTGGATGGCATGAGATAGAGATCATGATACATGGCTCATTGCTGATTTAACATCTGGGTGGGAATTGTGTAGCTCTTTAAGTGTTGCTTAACTGCAATTCCCATCAGCCCTAACTTTAAGTTATGTCAATGGTGATGATCACCTTCTCTTCTGAGGAATTGAGAAGTGCTGAGACCACCAATCCCACAACATCTACTTTGTTGTTCATTCTTCCTGTGCAGATTAGGACAGGGCTTAAAATTTTTCCACTTGTGACCTCATCCCACCTGAGAAATGTTTACATGTGCCTGCCTATATGGGTATATAAAAAAAAAGGTATAAAGCCAAACATTTAATGATAATCAGCATTTGCAGGGCTTGCTAAACAGGCTGGTTTTTCTTTTTTAGGAAGTACAGGTGAAGCATTTTTGCACAGTCCACTGTAAACATTGTTGCTAACAGATTTGTTCAATATCTAAAATAACCATTAGGCTGTTTTACTGTTTCCAAATTTTTTGTGACCCCCAAACATTGAGCTAAGAGGACCTAATTAGAGGTTGGGGACCCACAGTTTAAGAAGCAGTGGGTTGGGGCCTTCTTTTTTCTGCTTGTTTGGGATATGCTGGCTTTCTTCAGAATCGGGGAAAATATCCTGCATGGAATCCTATTGGTTGAATCTTAGATCACAGTTATAAGTAATCCACATTGGGTGAATTGGGTGTCATTTGTGGTCATTCACAAAAGAGGATGTTTAGCCTCCCTCTTCTCTCCTAAACTACCTCTAGTTCATACCTACAATGTGGATAGATTTGGGGGAGCAAAGAAAGCCACTAAATAGGGTTAAAACAAAACACAATGGGTCATTGCACTGATTATTAAATAATATTACACACACACACACACACACTGTGCTGCCTGTTATCATGTATTTGATAAGACAACATCTACAATCCCTGACCATTAGTGATGTGTTGGATCATGAGGATTTGTGACCAAGATCATCTTCCTCCTATTTCCCTGGAAATTGTTCATGGGAGGAAATGGGAATGTCAGGCACCCAGTTCTTGATCCCAATAGTTGGGTTTTGTGTGTGTCTATGTAGGTCTGGCTGAAATTCATTATGAATCACTATAGTGATGGTGCTACATAGTATGCTATGGGCACATAGGATTCTATTGGTAACAATCACTAATTAATTTAATAAGTCATTACCTACTTAATTAGTGCAATTGTAAATTAAGCCTAAGTAGGTCAAAGCACAGACAACAAAAGTAGAAATGTAGGACGTTTAGGCTTATACTGTGCCAGACCATTGGTCCATCTCACTTAGTGTTGGATTGTTTTTAAGCTCTGTGTAGATGGGAAGCCACCAGTAATTTCTCCAAATGTAAATTATATCCATTTATATTGAGTTTTGAGATTGTATGGTGATGAATCAGCTTACCCCATAAGACAGTATTTGAGAAACATGGGTGTTGTGGCATTTTAAAGCCAGCATCAGCAGAGGGGAAGATCAGATCTTTATTCTCCAAGTTCCAAAAGAAACTGTATTCGACAGTTCTCATCAAGAGCAGCCTTTACTATTGCAGTTACTGTTCTACTGAGCAGCTAAAGTACTTTGGCATTTGGTGAAAGGTCACTGGTTCCAGTTACAGATGATGTCAGTAGCACAGACTGCCAGCATTTAAGTTGAGTTAGAAGAAAGTGTCATCTGACTGGAACTGTTTCAGTCTGCTGGGCAATGGAAACAACCAACTAATTGCTTGTATTCCATATGTGTTATCCAAACCATTTAGGAAGATGCACAGAGCCTTTTTATACAACATGACAGCACTATGGAACCGTATAAGATTCTTTTTCTTCCCATTCATGGCCAGAGTAATTGTGAGGAAATCAAGTTAAAACCCTGTTTCGGTTATGAAATGTATTGGTTTTTTCTCATCACATCATCTTGGAGCCCCCAGTGGCGCAGTGCGTTAAACCCTTGTGCCGGCAAAACTGAAGACCGACAGGTCGGAGGTTCTAATCCAGAGAGTGCAGATAAGCTCCCTCTGTCAGCTCCAGCTCCTCATGTGGGGACATGAGAGAAGCCTCCTACAAGGATGGTAAAATATCGAAACATCCGGGCATCCCCTGGGCAATGTCCTTGCAGACGGCCAATTCTCTCACACCAGAAGTGAGTTGCAGTTTCTCAAGTCACTCCTGGCACAAAAAAAAAATCATGTCCTCTTTAGTCAAAGGTGGAATCTTCACCTCTATTAGGTGTTTAACCTATGCCTACCATCAATTCCACCCAGGATAATCATTGATACAGTAGTGTAGTAGTTGTCAAAAAATATCTGGAGGCACAGAATTTTGTCATTTGTGTTTTAACGTAACATATCGTACAATTTTTTTGAAACAATGCATGAAAAATCTCCAAAATAAGGATAGCAATAATGGAAAACTGGATTTCAATGAGATGAAATACTCATGCATGCAGTAGAACAAGGTTTCTGTTCTGGCAACACTGCTTTTAAAGAAGGTTACCAGAAATGAGATGCAAACGATTTGCGGAATTCTTCTGTATTAATTCTTCTTAATCTATTTACTATCTCTTAAAAGACAAATAAGCAGCTGGAAGGTTACAGATTGAAAACAGAATCCTTCTTCTTACAACAAAAACTTACATCCAGAACACATTGCATCCAGAACACAGTATGGCTTGCCAACTTACAACTGGAGCTAAAGTCAACAAGATGATCACTTGGCACTCATTGAAATTTACACATGTTTGTCTAAACCTTGACATCTATTGAATAGAAACAAGTAGGGCCACATAATGTGGCACCTGTTAGTGGCATTCACTGATATAAGTTATACATGTGGAGTTGTTTTGGTCATTGTATAATACTTTTATCCTGCTAATGGCACAAGTAGAGTTGTGCATTTGGGACCATTATCTATGTAGTAATACATTAAAGTACACAGATCAAAGTATGAATGCTGATTGCTCCTATTTACTGCGTTGCACTTCTGCAATGGTTTATCAGTCATGTTCCTTGAACAATCACCCACATACATTGTGCTACATTGATACTAGTTGTGCAAGGAAATTCCATTAGTAGATATTTACACTACATTGAAGCAATGCCATCATTTCTTTTAATGCAGTGACATGCCATACATTTTGTCAAAGTGAGTTTGGGAAGAAGGCCACAGAAAAGTGCATTGACGGTCAGCCACATTTAATCACAGATTCTATCAATGTTTCACAATCATTTGGTGGATGTAATAGTACAAACAGGTTTAGCCTGAAACAGTTAATCTGTTTATTTTTGTTGGAAATGACAACCTTCTTCAAGCTTTCTCTAGTAATGTTTGTCTATGACCCTGTTACTTACTGTTTCCTGTATGTATATTCTGGTATGCAGCTTCCTTTACTCTATGGTTTCTGAAAAGTAAAGGGGCTGCATACCACATGTGCGTGCTCTCTCTCTTGCGCTCTCTCTCTCCTTTTGACTATGTGACCTGTTGATAGCTGTTTTTGTTATAAGAGAGACGCCCYGGCTAGATGGCACAGAGAATATCTCAAACATATCTGAAACTGGACTGATAAGTTTTGTACCTGTGTATGCTGAACACATGAAGGTTGTGAGTAAACCAAATGTTATTTTTATCCAAGTTTACTTCATTTTTGTCTCTTGAATACATGATGAAAAACAAGTTGTTTTATGGAAAAGTTGTTTTATGGAAAAACACTTCTAAAGCTCTGCTGTTTTATGCAMTGGCAAATCTCTGTTTTCCTAACAGATTAGGGATAACAGGCTATTTAGTCTAACAACTGAAACCATTCCTTGCATAATTATGTCTGGTTGTATAAAACAAGAGAAGGTTCTACTCTAAAGGGTTTTTGGCTCTTCTCTGAAAGGTCATGTTTTTCTAAAAGTTATTGTCTCCAAAGGGTGTTTTTCCAAAACRTTATGAATGCCCTTTCCCAATTTTTTTGCATACTTCCATAGATTATAATGAGATAATATTTGGAAAAACGTGTGAGGATAATGCAGCCACCATTTGGTTACATATTACATGGCATATCTTATACTATGTAGACAAACAAATGGGATTTACTTCTTAAATGCGTATAAGAGGCAGAATAAGCGATAAGCAATGATTAAAATGTTTTGTAACACGAATAGCATTTTCTATGCATCTTAAACTAAAAACCATTCCTTCTTTATTGGTTGGTTACATTTACATTTTCCCAGCCACTGAAACAAGTTTCCACTTAGTTAAAGAACTTGCTTAGTAAACTTTAGTAGATGTTTTTGAATACTTTTCACCATCAAGTTCAAAGTGAATGTACAACACGGTAATTACTGGATATAACAAAAAAGAAATAAAGGAGAAAAAGAAAAGAAAAAAGGAATTCAGCAATTCAGGTTGAAACCAATATAGAAACAGAAGCCCATGTTTCCCATTCAACAGTAATCCTCTAATTTTTTTTAAATGGGCATCAATATAGCATTGATAGAAACCATAATGAAACAAAAGGATCACCAAAGGGAATGAATGCTCTTGGGTACTTTTAGACATGACAATATAA